CAGGATGCTCACAGAATTGGTTGAATTTGGTTGCAAATTAGATGAAAAAATGAAGGCTACGATAAGAAAAATGAAGGAAAATGCACAGGGAACCAATAGTGATAGGAAGAAAACTGGGACTCAAATCAATGGAAGGTACCAGAAGAAGGAAAGGAACAACCAAACAGAAAAGAATGAAGAAACAAGAATTCAAAAAAACAAGGAGAGGGTTAGGGACCTCTAGGACACCTTTAAACGTTCCAACATCCGAATTATAGGGGTACCAGAAGGGGAAAAGGAAACACAACAAGTGGAAAACTTATTTGAACAAATAGCAAAGGAGAACTTCCCCAATATAGCAAGGGAAATAGACTTCCAGGAAGTCCAGGAAGCTCAGAGAGTCCCAAAGAGGTTGGACCCAAGGAGGAACACACCAAGGCACATCATAATTACATTACCCCAAGATTAAAATGAAGGAGAGAATCTTAGAAACAGCAAGAGATAAGGAGACAGTTATCTACAAAAGAGTTCCCATCAGACTGTCAGCTGATTTCTCAAAAGAGACCTTGCAGGCAAGAAGGGGCTGGAAAGAAGTATTCCAAGTCATGAAAGGCAAGGACCTACATCCAAGAATATCCTATCCAGCAAAGCTTTTATTTAGAATGGAAGGGGAGATAAAATGCTTCTCAGATAAGGCCAAGTTAAAGAAGTTCATCCTTACCAAGCCCTTATTTTATGAAATGTTAAAGGGACTTATCTAAGAAAAAGAAGATAAAAATATGAACAGTAAAGAAAGACATCAAACTCACAGTTAGTAACAACCACACTGAAACAAAAGCAAACTAAGCAAACAAAGAGAACAGGAGTGGAACCACAGAAATGGAGATCACATGGAGGGTTAGCAACAGGAAAGTGGGAGGAGGAGAGAGGGGGAAAAGATATAGAGAATAAGTAGCATGGACAATAGGTAGAAAATAGACAGGGGGAGGGCAGGAATAGTGTGGGAAATGTAGAAGCTAAAGAACTTATGAGACATAGATATGAACTCAAGGGGGGGAATGTGGGTGGGAGGGGGTGGGCAGGGGGGAGGGGAGTGAAGGGGGCTAATTGGACAACTGTAATAGCATAATGAATAAAATATATTAAAAAAAGGAAGTCAGAAGGCAACATAAAGATCTCTTTCCATACTAGCACTATTTTTCTCTCTTCAGTTAAATTTGAGGCCCCTTCTCATACTTGTTTTCTATGCTATTAGATTTTGGGGATTAGATTTCAACTAGCTAACAATCTAGTTGAGCTAATAAGGCAAATATTTTAAAAATATAGGGGCAGTGTGCACCTAGGCATTAAATGACAACAGAGAAGTCCTATAAGCCGTTGAAGGAGTGGCTGGTTTCTTTATACTGTGTGGTCATGGTTTAGATCAGCACCACTTAATAGAACTTTCTACAGTGACGGAAATGTTCCTTCTGTGCTGATCAGCACAGTAGCCACTAGCCACATGTGGTTACTAAGTACTTAAAGTATGGTTAGTGTGACTGAAGAAAGGAATTTTTAATTTAACTTAAATGGCTATATATGAGGGAGAGCCACAGAAACAGAATTGATAAAAAATTGTGTTTTTATTCTTACATGTTTAAACTTCAGTCACCTTCAAAGTACTCTCCATTTAATGCAATACACCTACTAAGACATTTTTTTCCACTGCGCAGAACAGTTATTGAACTCATCAATTTTGATTCCTTTTAGTACTTCTGCAGTGTTTTTGCTTCACCTCTTCCACATAGGCAAAATGTTTCCCTTTGAGGACTTTTTTTTTTTCATTTGGGGAAACAAAAAAATGTTGCTTGGGGCAAGATTACGTGAATAGGAAGGGTGGGGCAGAGGGATTCATGCCATCTGGGTCAAAAACTGCTGAACACTCAGCGTAGTTAGGTCTCATGAATCAGCCATCATGAAATGGGCAAATGCGTTGAAAACAGTCTTCAAAATAAAAATTCACTGAAGCCAAATGCAGTCTCTCAGAACAACACCAGCTGGTACACTGATACAGATGGGTTCCTAGAACATTCACCTAATAGGGGAAGCTTGTACTACAAGGGCCCACCCTCCAGAAAATAATTCCATGTTTTTTTGATGTCCCCCCCTTGTATAATTGGTAATTATCATATTCAAGAGTGCAGGCCAAACTCTAAGGTTAAAAGAGGTGTTGTCCTGTTAGTTTAAGAAAGGGGAGGATCTGAATAACTAATAAAGAAAAGCATTCCAGGAGAAGAAAAGGCATAAATGAGTTGTGTTCAGTTCACACCAGAAAGTATGAAAGTATTTGGATGTGGGTGTGTGAAAGTACCCAGTGTTTGGATGAGGGGTTGTGATGGCTAGCTACACTGTATAGATCATACATCTGAGAGTTAGGATTTGAAACTGTAGGTAATGGGGAGTTATTGGTTATTTTCTTTTTTAAAAAATTGAGGTATAACATTACAGTAGTTTCATGAGTACAGTGTAATGATTCAGGATTTGAATAATTGTTTCTGATCAGTGAATAGTTCTCACTATGTGCCAGAATTATGTTGAGTGCCTTACATGGATTATCTCATTTAATTATTATAACATCCTTTGGGGGAAATAAAGATTCTTTTGGTGGTCCTATAAGGGTAAGAGACCAAAGGCAGATAAGTGAAGAAATTATAATGTTGGAACTTGTCAAAGGTACTAATGAAGGTGAGAATGTAGAAATTAAAAAGCCCCACTTAAGACGTTAGGAAGTTAGACTAAATAGAACTTGATATCTGGCTGTATGGGGAGGGTGAATGAAAAGGGGAGTGAGACCATCTTTATCTTTAGGGATACTGATGAGGACAAAATCCTGCAGAACATCAGTGATTCTGGGGTTTTGCTAAGGCATTTGATTTAGCAAAAGTATCTTGAGAAAGATGTCGATCAGTGGCAATGGAAATAGTTCAGTGGAGCTGAGGAATCTGATATAGAAAAGGTTTTCAAGAATCCTAAAGGTAAGTTAAAGATGAGGATGGGGAAGTGGCAGAAGGACCTGGAAGAGTTCAGGTAATGCTGACAAAGACTGAGGAGTCAAGGATAGTTGGTTTGGGAAAAGAAATATAAACAGTACTTTTGGCATGTTGATTGGAGGAAGAGTCCTCTGGATGATGATGTCTTGCTGGTTGGAGGGAATGTGAATTTAGAGCTTATGAGACAAATCAGGGCTGGAGGGGGCAATTGTAATGTTTTCTCCCAGCCTAGTAGATAAAGGGAAAAGAGAAGGTTGAGGATATAACCTGGGGAAAGAAACATCCTAGTAATAAGGCTAAATGGGAGCTTACAATAATAACAACCACCACCATCTATCATGTCACTATCATGTGTTTATGGGCATTTACATATATTATCTCACTTAATTTTCCTAAGACTCTAATGAAGTACTAATAATTCCAATGATAAAAAAAGGAAATTGGAGATCAAAAAGGTTTTGTTGTAATTAAAAAGAGATTGCCTATTATGCTGCCAGGCTCTGTTCTGGGCACAGAACAATACATGCAAGGAGCCAGCCTTCATGGAGCTTTTATGGATGTGGTGCAGACTGGAAAAAACAATGTAAGCAAATAAATGGATCAGATCACTTCAGATTTAATAAGTGCTGAGAAAATAATAAAACTAGTGATAATTGATATTATAATAAATATGATACAGCAATGGAGGAGGGTGTTGCTGGGAGGTAAAGCTATATCAGTGTGGTCAGGGGTGGACCCTCTGAGGGAACAAATGAGCTGAGAACTTTAGGAGGAGAAAGGTGGAAGTTTTCTAGGCCAAGGAAAAGGCTAGGTGTGCAAAGGCCCCAAGGCACCTAAGCGATGCTAAGGTTTGTGCAGCTGAATGAAGCTTTGTGAGCAAGGGATACAGGCCAGATTGGAGAAGCCACCAAATCAGGGGAAGGGGTTACATTAAGGGGGCGGGGGGGGGGCGGCAAATCGTTCCGATTCAATGGAATAAGGCGCCTAAGAGGCAGGGGCTAGCTAGGCTGCCCGGCTCTCCGACCAGTTTCTATTCTGCGAAGCAGCCTGTACACGGCAGAGGTGTGAGGCAACCAGTCAGGAAGGTTCCAGGACCAGAGTCAAAGGGCAGAGGCCTGCCGGGGTTTGGGGGTGCGGGATGTGACCTAGTCGTGTCGCAGGCATCAGGTAGCACTGTCGGCCGTGCCGAGCCTTCCCTGGAGCGACGACCGCTCAGCCAGCAAGTATCTTTCATCAACGCTCCCAGAACCACCCCGTCTTTAATTCTAGTAGGCGCCGGCCTGCCAAGGTTTTTCGATCACGACGGCGAGTTCGTCTTCCAAAACTTCGGAATAACCGTACTTTGGAGTGATACAGAGGCGAAATAATTTATGGCCAGGGGCAAGTCCTATGGAAAGTAGACTTTCTGATTCTGTCCTATTTCATCTCACGGTTTTCCGCAAATGACTTGCTTCTCCGTAAGCTCTCAAAGTCACCCCCTCCAACAGGGAGACTATTGGTTCAGCCTCTAGACCCGGATTGGCTGGAGGTTTACGCCTAGGCCAGAGGTTGGAGGACGTCGGTTCCTCACGTATTCCTCGCCGTCATTGGTTAGTTTTCCCGGTTTCTGGGCGGAGTGGTTAGGAACGGTTTCCACCCTCTTGTTTACGAAGCGCGTAGTTGTAGTGCTCTCGGAGCTCCAGGGCTGTCTCCAAAGTTCCGTATTTAGCTTCTCAGACCAATTGGGTCCTTGCTCCACCCTCGACCTCTCACTTGCACGCCTCCCGCGTGGTTCGGCCCTCACCTTTAGAGCGGCGGCGCGGGCGGCTGCGGGTCGCGTTCTTCCCTCCGCATTCGCCGGGCTGCTCCCCCTCGCGCGTGCCGTTGGTACGGCCTGCGCCGCCTCCTCCCGTCGCTGGGGTGGCTAACCTCCCCCCGCCCCCCCGCCCCCCGCCCCTTCTCGGGTTGGCGGCTCTTGGTGCCGCCCTGGAGAACCAGGTCACCGGCCGGTTCTCTTGAAAACAAAACAGTCGGCGGCGCTGCTGCGCGTATCCCAACGCGGCGAGCCGGGGCCGGTGGAGCAGCAAGACGGGGTGTCTGCGACGCATCTGAGGCCGTGCGCCATGGGGCAGGCGGGCACGGGCTGTGCGGGGTTTCCCCGGCGCCGGGGCTAGCGTGCCCGCCGCCTCAGCAGCTCGCGTCGCCCGCCTGGGGGACAAGGAGGAGGACGCGGCCTCGGCCGGGCCCGGGCCGAACGGCTGCGGACACCCGGGCGCCGGGACGCCGAGCGCCGCCTCCGCCTCCGAAATGGATCAATGCGTGACGGTGGAGCGCGAGCTGGAGAAGGTGCTGCACAAGTTCTCGGGCTACGGGCAGCTGTGCGAACGCGGCCTGGAGGAGCTCATTGACTACACAGGCGGCCTCAAGCACGAGATCTTGCAGAGCCACGGTAGGGCGGCCGGGGGGAGGCGCGTGGGGCCGGGCCCACTCGCCCGCGTTCCTCAGGGCGGGCCGGGAGGGTGCCCTCGGGGTGTCGTTTCCCGCCCCCATCCCCCGCGACGTGCGGAGACCGTCAGACCCCTGTGACTTTTCTTCCTCGTCTCGTCCGATCAGCCTCTAACCCGCCCGACCTCGTTGTTAATTAAGAGTGAGTGCGAACCCACCCTGAAACCTGTCTTGGAGCCTGATGCTCCAGCCCTGTTAAGCGTGCGTGGGGATCGGTCCACCGCACCTGCACACTGTGGCTCTCTCAGCTAGGTGCCCCTTGCCCCTCCCGGGGGCGGTCTTCCGTCGTCCCCGCGAATTGCGTTGGACCCGAGGGGCACCCTGTTCCAAATCCTTGGCTGAAGACTCACTTTCTTTTTCTTACTTTTTTTTTTTTTAAATTAGGCAAGTGTTATTCTTAGCTGTGGTTTAACACAATTGTGTCTCCTGCAACTTCAGAATTTGTTGTGTGGAAGCGGCCCTTCAACTCCGCAGCAGCGCTGACATGATTCCTAGGGAATTAGCTGAATCAAACTGGTCTGCCCTCCTAGTGTTGCCTCTGATGAAACTGGGGAAGAACAGGCAATAATTCTTCCTGAAGCAAATTGTGGAGCAGGTTTTTTAGTACTTGGCCTTCATTGATCAAGTTTTTACTTGTTCTCCTTTTAGAAGGCAGAATCTCTGTAGAAGATATTTTACCTAGGTTTTTTCAGTATTGCCCTAGGCTCTGGAGGCAGACAGTTTGCCAAAGTTAACTTGTGGTAGCTGGTTGAGAAGGGTTTTTGTTTTTGTTTTTTTAAGTAATATTAAAGATCTGCTATCCTTACATTAAAATAGTCTCAGTGATAATTCCTTCTGATCAAGAAGTAAAGGAACTTATTGAATAGGTTAAGTCAGGAGCATGGGAGGGAGGGAGCCTTTTCAACTCCTAGGCTGAATAGAAGTTTGTGGAAGGAAGGTTTGGGAGCCAGGGTGAAATGCGGATACTTGTGACAAGTGAGATGAGGGTAGTGGCGCTAGTGGAGCTACTGTCTTCCTCTCCTTCATTATACACCTTCCTTTCCCAGTTGGCTTTCAGTTGAGAATAAGTGTTAGTCCCTGTAGTAAGGGAGTCTTACAACAGCATCTCATTCTGGACTCCACAGTCACTTTTGAACTCCTGGGAATACACAAACCTGCAACGATAGTGGGGCTAGGAGTTAAAATATTAATATGGAAAAATGAGCAGACCTAGGTGGTTGCCTGTGAAGGGGAGTGGAGGTGAAGTGGTCTGGCAGTCCTGGGGAGGCTCTGGTGAATGTGGTTTTGGTTATGAGAGATAAAGTGAGAGTGAAGGGCTGATGAAGATAGAGTCAGGGACCTAATGTTCACTGGTGACTGAAGATGCATAGATGGTGTCGGCCTGGAAACGGAGTATCAGTTTTCAACTTAGTTCTCCAGAAGTTCAAGGATTGTACTGAGCCCTGATTCTTTTTTTTAAATCCTTTTTATTTTTTTTAAAAAAGATTTTATTTATTTTTTTTAGAGAGAAGAGAAGGGAAGGAAAAAAGAGGGAGAGAAACATCAATGTGTGGTTGCCTCTCATGCGTCCCCCATTGGGGAACTGGCCTGCAACCCAGGCATGTGCCCTGACTGGGAATCAAACCAGTGATTCTTTAGTTCGCAGCCTGCGCTCAATCCACTGAGGTACACCAGCCAGGCCTGAGCTCTGTCTGATTCTTATCCTTAATTGTTTTGATTAAACTTTAGGTTATCTTAATTTCCCCAATCTGAGGGAACAGGAGAGCACTGTTGTCATTTAGTTGCACCAGCCTTTTAATGAGAGTTTCCCTGTAAGCCTGAAGTTCCATCTAATTTAAGATTCAGTATGGTTGATGCTCTTTGATCATTCCCAGTGTGGCCTTGATCTAATTTGAATAATGCACTGGTGCTTCTCAAGCTTCACTCACACATGGGCACTCTTATTTTTCAGACGGGTGCCCAATTTAACTTAAGTAGACTTGTCCTCTTTCTAGGCAGTGATATTTCTGAAGTCGTAAGCTTAGTGTGTTCAGTATGATAAACTACATATTAAAAATATATTCATAACTATTAAAATATTTCACATTTGGGTAAAAGCACCATTCACATCAATGGTATGGGAACCACACTTTGGACAACTGTTAACAGGTAAATAGTATGGATAAATTTTGGTGATTTGACTTATGATTATTTATGCTTTTTAGAATTTTTTTCTTTTTAAAGATTTTATTTATATGTTTTTAGAGAGAGGAAGGGAGGGAGAAAGGGAGAGAAACATGTCTTTTGCCTGTGATGGGTGCCCCCTACCAGGGACAAACCCACAACCCAGGCATGTGCCCTGATCAGGGATGGAAACAGCATCCTGTTGCTTTGGAACTATGCCCAGTCATCTGAGCCACACTGGTCAGGGTAGTATTTTTTTTTTCTTTTGGCAAATACTTTTATATACTGTGTTTCCATTTGTGGTGGAAGGGACACCAGAAGAATTATGTACCTTGTATTGCTGATATTCTAAATTCACATTTGGTGAAAGAAAAGCAGCCAAACATTTGGGTAACAGTTTTATGACCTATTTAAAGTGTATTTAAGGAAATTACAATTTTTGTAAGAGTAAAGGGTACATAGTATTTTTTATTATTAGTTTTAGGCTATTATTAAAGGGAGTTTCAACGTAGTTTCTGAAAGTGATTCTCAAGAAGATTTGTAAGTTTAAATTTTATTTATTTGTAATAGATAATACATAAAGTGATAAAAACTCACATGCAAAAAAGGATACCTGGTTAAAAAAAATCTTTCTCCCCCTCTTTCTTATTTCTGGAACACCTAATTGGCCACCTCATAAAGATGTTAATTTCCAGAAAAAAATTTTAAGGGAAATCAGGTAAATAATTTGTCATTATTTTTACTTTGAAGCACTAGAGATATATAATTCTACTTACTGTGATTTACTCTTAGTATTATCTCAATTTGCAAATTGGTAGAAACAACTTTATTTGCGGGAAGTATCTAAAACTCCTTTCTTTGTGTGGTGTGTGGTTTGACTCCTGGTAGTAAAAATCATTTAAACCATAATCCTCTGCCTTTCTTTCTTCTCCTCTTTTTTTTTCTTCAGTATTTGAGAGTGGTAAGTAGATAGTTTAGCAGGAAAGGAAAAAAGAAAAAACAAATTTGCTGGTCATAGTTTTAATTTCTGTGATTTCTCTTGCATCAGTAGACAGAAATCAGTATCACATGTTAGGTATGACTTTCCATTCTAGAGCTTGCGTTATTATACATATGCATTGAAAAGTATGCTTGTATATAAATTCTTTGTGCTTTTCAGAGACTACCAATGTTGAATGAGTTTAAAAGGATCAGGGTTTGGGGGACTAGGGGTTTGCTTATTCAGTATTGTTCTTTGGTATACTTGGAGTAGGCTATGTAGCTTAATTTCCCATTTGTTAACCAAACTTTTTGCTGAATACTAACAAGGCACTGTTATGAGAATAATGACTAAGTTTTGAATTGAATAAAATTTGATATCTAGTTTAACATCTCATCTGGAAAGTAGCAAATAAGTAGGTCGGCAAAGTTTGGGTAGACAACAGTAGCCATTGTTCAAATATTCTAAAGGAGAATAGACTAGTAACCAAACTACTTGAGCTACTTTAGATGGTGAGAATAGGTCATTGTTGGTGTTTCTAGTGGGTCTAGAAGCAGATTTAACCTTGTCAGCCATTCTTTTCCAGGCTCATGTAGGAGATAATTCTTTGTTATTTGGCACCTTATTCATTCAGACTAGCATATCACTCAGGATTCTTTTGGTTGTAGATGGCAAATTAGTTTTAATTAATAGTTTTAAGTGAAATTTGTTTAAAATTTTTAGAAAATTTATTGATTTTTTTTAGAGAGGAAGGAAGAGAGATTTGCTGTTCCATTTATTTCTGCCTTCATTGGTTGATTCTTACTGGGGATGGAACCCACAGCCTTGGCATTTAGGGATGACGCTGTAACCAGCTGAGCTAGGGCAACATGGAATTTGTTGACTCATAGCTAAATAGGCTGAGGTTAAGCCAGGCTGGCTTCAGGAGCACAAAGGATGTCATAAAGACTGGTCTTGTGTTCTCGTCCTCTCAGCTGTGGTTTCGGTGGTTGTCTTTATTCTCAAAGGAGCTTTCTCCAGGTGGAGATGGAGATGTCCAATGGAGCTCACATCTTCCTTCACTGCTAGGGACCCTGAAGACAGAAACATGCTTTTTGCCTGCATTCCTAACAAAATTACCAGGAAATGCCCTTCTTGTCGTGGTTTAGGTCGTATAAACTTCTCCCTGAATCAGTAACTGGGGCTGGGACGTGCAGTTCATTGGCTAAGTTGGTGATTACCTTGCATCAGTAGATGTATGGTCATGTGATCCACTGTTGATCACACAGAGAAGAGAGTTCTAGAAAAGAGAACTTGTGCACCCAGGACAGAAGTGGTAGATGTCTACTATGGATGTATATGGGGTGGGTTTACAGTTGTTTGTAGGGAAAATAATACTATAATTAATAAATAATAATACAAGAATAAACTGTTTCACAACTCACAACTGTAAACCTACTATTGCCCACCCCTGTATTATCATTGTACATCATACAAGTTACATGAATAGCAAATGTTCTTTGAGATATTTTCTTGACTAGCCCAATCTTTATTTCTCAGTGTTTGCCTTGCCTCCTCACACTAGTATTTGTATAATTCAAATACTGAATGTTAGTATGATTTAATCTGTCAGACTAGAAAAAATCAATTTGATTCATGTTACCTTTGAGAACTTACTTGAAACTGCTTTAATGCTTAACATAGTAAAGTTATTTCCCTAAGTTTATTTTATCTTTTATGTAATTTCTAATGCCAGATAATAACAGGGAGATACTTGCCAGCACTTCTGTGATACCCCCCTACTACAGCTAATGGACAAATTT